TTTTTTTTTTTTTTTTTTTTTTTTCTCAACACAAAAGGAAAATACCATATTACCCTTCCATCACACAGCCTTTTCATACTTACGCCATTGTTTCTTACCTTTTCAACTTCTTCCTTATTAGGTAAAACCTTTTGGCTTAAAACAAAAGCAACCAAACTAATTTAGATAAAATGGTAGCCTAAATTTGTTATATACATTTATATATTAAAAAAAGCACCAATTACTTATGATTTGAATTAGTCCAATAATTAAAGGAACTATAATTTGAAACATTGTGATTTATTATTATTTGGAGAAAAAATGAAGATTTATTGAGAATGATAAGGGCAGAAATGAGAAAGGAGTAGAAATAATTGAGACCCCCACTTGTGACCAATTGCATTGGGATCCATGTGTTAAATCACAAACTTCCAATGCCTTTCCATTTGGGTCCTTAGTGGCATATTACACAAACCATATTATATCCCTAATATTAGTCTTTTCATATTAACATCAAACTAACAAACAAATTAATGTATACAAAAATCATGACGTAATTTATATTTCATTATTTTAATATCAATAATAATCATAATAATACATCTCTTTTAACATGTTAGCTTGGATTGGATCCCAAATGATTTCCCTTCACAGATCTTCCTTCTCTCCACACTAAAAAATAGAAAAGTTACCATTTTTGTTACCCAATGAAATTGTTGCTTGCTTTTTCACCCTCCTCGTTGTTATCCTCTGTTTCTTTGTTGCAATCCTCCTCAAATTCAGACCCTTCCTTTGGACTATCCACAGTTCGCTTCTCCTGCTCTTCTTCTTCTTCTTCTTCCTCTAAACCCATTTCCTTTTTCCTTAATCCTCCATTTTTCTCGTTCTTCTCTGCTCTTGATTTCAATGTCTCTAGCAACTCTGCCACTGCCCTGTTTTTATAGCGGCGGTTCTTGATCAGAAATTCGCTCACGTCCGCCGGCGTCATCTTTGCCTTGTCGATAACCTCTTTAATTTCTTGCAACAGAGTGTCATCGATTTCATTCTCTTCGTAATTTAAATAGTTCTTCAGAAGTATCTTCAATGCTGGATAAGAGCAGAAATTCATGAAAATATGCATATCCATTCTCCCACTTCGAAGCAATGCCGGGTCCAGCTTCTCAATGTGGTTCGTCGTAAATACGAAAATTCTCTCACTACCACAGCACGACCATAACCCATCGGTGAAATTCAGCAACCCAGAAAGAGTAATCGAGCCGCCGCCGCCGCCGCGGCCGTCGTCACCGGATAGCGAACTGTACCTACCTCCGCATCGGATGTCCGGAAAATCGTAGTGGTTTCTTGTACCGGAATTTTTCTTTTTGCGGTCAGTGAAACTAATGGAGCAATCAATGTCCTCGATGACGAGGATCGATTTGGAGGTGGTTTTCATGAGGAGCTTCCGAAGTTCAGAATTGGTGTGGACCTCAGTGAGTTCGAGATCATAAACATCGTAACCGAGAAAATTAGCCATTGCAGCGATCATACTGGATTTTCCAGTTCCGGGAGGGCCGTATAAGAGATAACCTCTTTTCCAGGCTCGGCCTGTCTGTTGGTAAAAGCTTTGGCTGTTCGCGAAATCTCGAAGATCTTCCATAATCTGTTGCTTCTTAAGTGGGTCCATAGCCAATGTATCAAATGTGCTTGGGTGTTTAAATGGCACCGACTCCCATGGATTCCCTCTCGAATCCAACGACCCACCACGCGAATTCGTGTAAAGAAGCCGCTCCTGATTCTTGCGACGGATTTCATCAGCTCTGCCCATAATGTAATCGAGATATGAATCTAAAATCAAAGGCTTATCTTTTTTCTTGATTCGAAGAGTAAAACCCCTTTTCTCCTCCGGCAACGGGCGCCAGAGATAGCCCTGTGCTTGTCTTTGAGTGACAATATGCTCCCACTGGACAGTGACGCCATCGAAGAAGTCAAGGATGCAGTCATTATTAGCAAGACCAAAGGTGATCGCACTGGAATTGACAGCACGCGTGAGACTCAACCGATTGCCGGAGATGGAAACAGAGGAGCTTAAGTAGAGTTGGACGGCGTTGTAGAGCTCGTTGGTGTTGACGCCGTCGATTTCAGTGATGTCAAAGTAGACGTAGGAGGAGAAGCAGTGGGAGAGTTTGTGGAAGAGTTTAAGGGCGGCGAAACGGAGCTCCGGCGGGAAGATTGTGTGGAGGAGGGACTGGCAGAAGGCAAGAACGCCGAGAAGGGATGCCAGAGAGGACCAGTATTCCTTCATGGCGGTGAATCAAGAAGGGTATAGGAGATTGATAGAGTGTAGTGAATTAGAGGAGGAGTTTATAGAGGGAAATGGAGGAGAGAGAAAGGAGGAGGGGGTAGAGAGAGAGTGGGTGGAGGATGTGGGGAATTGGCTGGCAGAGAAGAAAGTACAATGAAAACAGCAACAGAAGTGGGGAAAAACAAAAAGGGCTTTTGGAGTTTTGATGGTTAAAGAGAGCGATGAGAGATGGGTCCCCTGTTTTGGTTGTGTGTGTGTAAGCTTCTGCGACTCCCCTATTTTTCAAATTTTCATTCCATTTTAATATTATAATAATAATAATAATAATAATTTAATCATCCAACAATTGCGATAATAAATATACAAATTGAAATTAGCATGGGTTTAAATAAATAGGAGGAATTTCAAAATATTGTTGAATTAAATAATAAAACTTTTAATATTCTTTTTTGTTTGACTCACAGGTTGGTTGTGGTTATGGTTTTAGTTAATATTGGTGCACTATATTAATTAAACATTATAAATACGAATATACCAAAAATGAAAAGTCAGACTTTAAACACACCAATAATCTCGTTTTATTTATGGTGCACTATAAAAAAGAAAAATAAAATTATTAAAAGATTAATTAGGGATTTTACATTTATCTTGTGTTCATTGTTATTTTGCTATGAAATTTAATTACCAAAATTGCTACGTATTTTATATTATTGCATTTGGAGTAGGTATGATCGTTTCCAAATATTTATGTAGATTTTATCACATTCAAAAGTTATGCCATTGTGGATGAGGGGCAGTTTGGGGTAATAAAACCAAATTAAAAACTATATTATATAACGAAATTGCATAATAATAAAATTAAAAGAATTTTCATGCTAATAATATTAAAAAAATTCGTAGATGAGATTAAAAATAATTAATAGTTATATTAATTTAAATAAGAGCCAATAGGAAGAGATAAACTAAAGAAATTATAAGCAAAAAAAAAAAAAAAAGAAAAAAAAAAGGAAGAATATTTTAAGAGAGGGAAGAGGGTATGTCTACAACGGTGAAGGAGGAAGAGAGCCACGTGTAACGCCCTAATCTGGTTGCCTTAGTTATAAGCTTAATTAATGATTGTTTAAAGGGTCAATTAAGATAGTTAGGTAGTGTGGATTAAGATGAAGATTGATTGATTAATTAGAAAGGTCCAACCACTACAGTGTAGCAACCAAGGTTCTTTTGCGTGCTTTGGACCCGATTCTCCTTCTTAATTTAACCTAAAATCCACGACCAATTTTAATAATTATAAATTCCTTTTTAAATATTCTTAGGTCTTCCCTAACTTTTATAAATATTTTAATTTACTTTAATATTTTTTTTATAACAAAAAAAAAAAAAAAAAAACATGTGGACACTTATATTTCATATTTAGTTTAACCATCTTACTATACTATGTATGACTAAAAATCTTAATATATAAAATTCATAGACTAAAATACGATATTTAAAAGTTATATGCTGAAATATGATAACACATGCGTATTTATTAGTAGGAATATGAATAATTAGAGAATATTAAAGGGTCGTAGAATAATATTTAAATATTTTATTATTTAAAAAAATAAAGGTAAAGTATTGGGAAGATACCCATACTTGGGTAGATGCATATTATTTTCAGAATTTTTTTTAATACTATAATGAGTCCATATGATTTTGAAAAGAATGAAAAAAAAAAGAAAAAAAAAGAAACCAATCTCTAGTCCCTCCTCACTTTTGTTTCTTCTTCTTTAAATTAGGCCCTTCTTCTGACACTGCCACACACAGAGAAGAGAGAGAGGTGAGACGTGAGATGGAAAGGCTCTCTGTCCAAAGCAAAACGAAAAGATCCGAATCATTTTGATTTGGGTTGGGACCATAAATCCAAAATCCAAAATCCACACCTTGTTTGTCTGAGTTTTGAGTTTTTTGATAATGGAAACGAGTAGGCAGAGGTGTACAGAGAAAGGCTTTTCGGGGGTTGATTAATTGAAAACAGAGTAGAAGAGATTAGAAGAGAGGGGTTTGGAAGTAAGGCTTTTAAGGTTACTCATCACGTAAACCAATCTTGTGTTCCCACACGTAAACCCAGAAGAAAGCAAACAAAGACTCAGACGGTAAGGCAGAGAAGGGAGAGCTACGAATCTTTTTCAATAATAATAATAATAAGAATAAGAATAATAACGTCTCTCTCTATTATTTGTGTGATTAGTAAGCCAAGCAGAGGCAGAGGAGGACAAAGCAGAAGCAGAGGAGGGCAGAGGAGGACAGAGGAGGACAGAGGAGGACAGAGGAGGACAAAGCAGAAGCAGAGGAGGACAGAGGAGTTGTGACTGGTCCATCATCTTCCCCCTATTCTCTACCACCTCCTTCCCACGCCTACACTAAACTAATGCATGCACTGCTTCTTCACCTACCAATCTCCATCCCTTTTATCACCATTTATTGGGGTATTCTCAAACACAACATTACCTACAACATTACCTACATAGCATACATTGTTCATGCCTACGACCACCCATATTCTAATTGGCTAACTTATTCCAAAGTAAATAAAATAACTGGGTATGATACAAGGTGAATGGCACTTGTTTGATAGTTGAGTTAGACACTTATTCACCTTACTCACTCATTTCCTTCACAATTTAACCTATAATTAAATGATTTATTATAGGTTTAATAAAATGAATGGTAAACAGGTTTAATAAAATGAATTAGGGGTATTATTATATGGAGAGTCAGCGGTTTTGCTTAGTTCATAAACAAGCAGGCGTCAGTGGATTATTAATGCAAAGTGCAAAAGTGCCTAAATTACGTAACCCTTGGCCTTTATTTGACTGACCCCCAAGCACTTTGCGCATGTACACGCATCCACCACCGCTACCCATTACCCACCATTTCCATTTCCCATCCCTCTCTTTTCTTCTTCTCACGCTTCTCGCACACCGATGCCTCATTTGCTTCGCCGAAGTTTCTGCCCTTAAATGTGCAAAACATAATGCTTTTCACACGCCCTACGGACAACTAATCTAACTTTATTATTGTTTTGTTTCTATTCTCTACGATTCAAATCAGGATCCATTTTCGTATCGACACATGTTGGTCTGTTGGGTGACCCAAACTCGAACCAAAGTTGCATTTTTACCCTAAATCTTGGGTTCTTCAAACTAAAATGGGGTGATACCTAACGGAGGAGAAAAGATTGGTAGTATTAAAATTGAACTTATAAAGTTCTTACATATCTTAATAATATAAAAGAAGTCAAAAAAAGTTAGTCCCGGGAGCACGAAATTGACAACCAAATGCGTTTAATATAAGAAACTTTTTTGACACCCTCTGTTTTCTGCTCTTCCTTCTTAATACATTCTTTGATTTCATTGCTTAATTCCTATGCTCCTCCCTCGATCTCTCTTTGAAATGGAAGTTACGAAGCCTTCCTCCAAGTCCGACCGACGTCGTTTTGTTCTCTCTTCGATCTTCTTCATCTTTTTCCTCTGCGTTTTGGCCTCCATCAACGAAGCTCGTTTCGACGCCCTCTTGAAGTTCGGCCGATGCACCGTCGACAGCGCTTCTTCTCTTTCGCTTCAAACGGCGACGTTTAATTCCTCCGACGACAATCTTCTTTCAGTTAATTCTTCCTCTGTCTCCAACGACACTGATATCCGTATACTCATCGGCATTCTAACGCTTCCCGATCAGTACAATCGCCGCCACTTTCTCCGTCTAATTTACGGCACGCAGTCCGTTTCGGGCGCTAAAATCGATGTGAAGTTCGTCTTCTGTAATTTGACGAAAGAGGATCAGAAGATTCTCGTCGCGTTGGAAATAATGCGGTACGACGACATTATAATCCTCAATTGCAGGGAGAATATGAACAAAGGCAAAACCTATACCTACTTCTCCAGCCTACCGGAGATCTTCAACAGCAGCGACGGCGGCGGACCTAATCCGCCGTATCACTACGTGATGAAAACCGACGACGACACTTACATCCGGCTCAACAGCTTGGTAGAATCGCTCCGGCCACTTCCGAGAGAGGATCTGTACTACGGATATGTAATTCCTTGTCCGAGCATGGATCCGTTCGTGAAATACATGTCCGGAATGGGATACTTGATATCTTGGGACTTGGCGGAGTGGATCAGAGAATCGGAGATCCCTAAGAACAATTTGGAAGGGCCTGAGGACAAAGTATTTGGAGAATGGATCAGAGATGGCCGCCGAGCGAAGAATCGGTTCAATGCGAAGTGGTCGATGTACAATTATCCGGAGCCGCGGACGGGATGTACTCATGAGCTTTGGCCGGAGACGATCGCCGTTCATCTGTTGAAGAATCAGGAGAAATGGATTCGCACATTGACGTATTTCAATGTCACTGCGAATTTGAAGCCATCGAAGTTGTATCATATTCCATAGGTGAATCAAATTCAAACCATCTTTAGTTTCAATTTTTGGTTATTCTACTCAAATTATACAGAAGAAGATTCTTCGGCGACTTATGGTTATGGTCGCTTCTCTGTTTTTTTTTTTTTCAAAAAATCTAAATATATATTTCACTGATGGATCAAAATATCTTGAATGAGGATGTATACAATGTTTTGATCATAATAATTGAATCATTTGATTTTATATCTAATCTTTTACGCACTTTGTTTTGAACTTTAAATGCCTCTTGGATTGTTACCTGGTTCTCCCGCTTAATATCAAATTAGATAGTTGGGCCAAGAGTTCTGTATGACCGAACCAAAAGGATTTAAAAATGCTGTAGGAGTCATGAGTTGGTACATGTCAAAAGTAAAATCGACTACCATCTTTTGTACAAAATAAGCGAAAATTGCAAGCTAGTTGGATATTGTAATACTAACTATATAAGAGGCACAATACCTAAAATTTAAACGCTAGATATGAGTTTAAATTCGATTTTGGAATAATTTCTTGATACAATAAAAGAAACCAACAATATCCTTCTTAATGGAGGATTTGCACTACAATGTTGTTGAGTATTTGATATCACTTCATTACAACAACCAATCTCTACTTTGCCGAGTAAAAAGTTTAATGTTTTATGTTAGAACAAAATATATGAAGGTGCTTAACCCTTATTTTTGAAAGCAAGAAGATGGACGACCAAATGTCAAACTTGTTTATGAACTGACTGAATAATGAAAAATAAGAGCTTTCAATTTAGATCAAGTTAGAATATAATAAATTATGGAATATAAAAATGGAGATTCCCATCTGTTATTCAAGTTATATCAAAGAAATGTATATATATTAAGAATCACAAACAATATCAATAAACGTAATTGAATGAAATAAACAAAAATAATGAAAGCAAATGGGTGTTCTTCGTGAGAGCCAAAAGATGGAAGCACACCATAATTGAATGTTACGCAGCAAAATTCAGACTCCGAAATCAAAGCCTTAGGCATTGGATATCATAATCCTCCATCATCAATGATATCAATCGATAGCAAATGGGTGTTCTTCTAAAGCTGCTTAAAGCTATTCCCACGGCAGTATTGAAGGTCAAGCGAAACCTGACGCTCGATCCTAAGCTGGCGATAGAAATTGGCTATGAAAGCCTCCGCACGCATGTCCACATCGTCTTCAGAAGCGTAGCTCCTTGTTCTTTGTAGCCCTCTCCACGAAATCGACTCTCCACACAACTCTGTAACATCCTCTTCCCGACACCCCTTCAATCCCGGCGCTTCCTTGAAGCTGACGCGGAGGCTTCTCGACAAACTTCGTCCAAACATCGCCGCCAAACGCCAGCTTTGGACGTTGAAGTTCATCATAAGTTTCAGCTTCTTCACTGCCTTCCTCAGCCGACCCAACAAGCTAATCGCCGCCATTTTCGCTATGAAATTTGATGGTTAGGATATCGGATAATTTGGGAGTATTTATAATGGTATTAGCCGCCTATTTTTTGGATATTGGTGGGAAGTTTGTGTAGCAACTTCATAAACAAGAGAATGCAATACGTGTGGAATTCCAATACCAATTTTGGGTGACGCAAACTTTGAACAAGTCTTAATTTGATTTGATTAAGACCAACTTCTTTACCTCTTCCTAATATGATCTTATTTGGATTTTCCAAATGTGGATAGATTCAAAATATGGCTCATAAAAATACAAAACTCCATTAAAGGGCTCACCTTAAAACAAAAGAATTGATGGGGATAATGTCACTCCAATCACCTCATTTAAACACTTTAAATAAAGTCAATAATTACATTCCTGATTTAGTTAGGAAATACAAAACATAAGACCTATCATAAAACATTATTTATGCGCACCTAGACCCTTAGAAGAGCTTGTTTAGACCAACGCTACTAGTATACTACGGACGAAAGGGAACACACATAATATCGCCGTATATATAACACCGATAATAATATCACAGAGAAAATAAACGTAGTAAAGTAGATGCTCATACTAATTGTATAGATTAATATCCCAATACACATGATACCCGATTAGACTATCACATTCTCCACGATGCACTCCTTGGGTAAGGCAATGAATTACGTGGGTGAAAAAAGAAAAGTTGGGCATTTTCCTTACGGTAAGCGGGATGGAAAACGTTCGAGTGTGAGACATAGACGTTTTTTTTTTGCATATTCACGTTTTTTTTCCCTCTTCATTCACAACATTATAACGAATAAGTCTCAATGTCAATTTTAAAAACATAAATAAAATATTTTTACTAATATATGACAACTTGTCTATTTTTGATGATTGTTTTATTGTTTGCCAACTCACTAGGTATTATGTCATACCCATAACCAACTTCCATGTAAGGAATAATTACTTATCACTTATATTTAGGCAATTAATTTCAAATTTCTATGATTTTTGCTTGAGAAAACAAAAATTATGATTACATATTTATTTATTTTCCTAATTAACATACCATTATGAATAATCTTAAAATGACAACGGAAAAGAAAAGACAGAGAAGATATTGTGTGAAAATAAAAATATCTTGGGTCATTGGTTTTTTATAATGAGAACCCTATTCTTCTTCTCACCAACCCCACAACTAGCTTCTATCTGCTTCTTCTCTTCCTCTCAAATTACCTCACTTTCTTTAACCACACCAAAATTCAATCCACCTCTCACCTTCTCCATCCCTTCCTCTAATTCCTTCCACCTATGGCGGCCGCCGATCTCTCACCGGAATTCATATTCCGCTCAAAGCTCCCCGATATCACCATACCCGACCACCTCCCCTTGCACACTTACTGCTTTGAAAACATCTCCCAATTCAAACACCGTCCATGTCTAATCAACGGCGCTACCGGTGACACCTACACCTACGACGAAGTCCACGTAACATCCCGCCGTGTCGCCGCTGGCCTCCATAAGCTCGGCATCGGAAAAGGCGACGTCATTATGCTTCTCCTCCAAAACAGCCCACATTTCGTTTTAGCCTTCCTCGGTGCTTCTTATATTGGGGCGGTGGTCACCATGGCGAACCCGTTCTTCACGCTGCCGGAGATAGCAAAGCACGTCGCCTCCTCTGGCGCGAAGCTGATTATAACCCAAGCTGCCTTCGCCGAGAAAGTGAAAAGCTTGGTAGACAAAAACGGCGTGAGTATCAAGCTGATATTCATCGACCCTCCACCGGATGGAGAGGCTCATTTTTCGGTGTTGACTGATGATGTAAAAGAAGAGGATATGCCAGATGTGAAAATCAGTCCGAACGACGTCGTTGCATTGCCTTATTCTTCGGGGACTACAGGTCTTCCAAAAGGAGTAATGCTGACTCATCGAGGGTTGGTGACCAGCGTGGCACAACAAGTGGACGGTGAGAACCCGCACCTCTATATCCGAAGTGATGACGTGGTTTTATGCGTGCTTCCGTTGTTTCATATCTATTCATTGAACTCGATCATGATGTGCTCGTTGCGAGTGGGAGCGGCGATTTTGATCGTACAGAAATTCGACATTAATTACGTGGTGGAATTGGTGGGGAAATATAAGGTGACAATTGCGCCGTTGGTGCCGCCTATTGTATTGGCAATAGCGAAGAGTCCAGCGGTGGGGGGTTGGGAGATGTCGTCGATACGGATGGTGCTGTCGGGAGCGGCGCCGTTGGGGAAGGAGCTTGAAGATGCGTTTAGGGCTAAGCTTCCAGATGCGATACTGGGGCAGGTAAGGAGTTTGTTTAAGATAGATAATGATGATGAGATTGATAAGGAGGTGTGTGGTTATAGGGATATGGCATGACGGAGGCAGGGTCGGCACTGACGTTGTCGTTGGCATTTGCAAAGGAGAGGTTCCAGATAAAATCGGGAGCTTGTGGGACGTTGATGAGAAATTCAGAGATGAAAATTGTAAGCCCTCAAACTGGAGCTTCTCTTCCTAGGAATCAGCCCGGAGAGATTTGGATTAGGAGCCCTCACGTGATGAAAGGTATGAGACTCTCAACAATCGTAGGATATCGTCTAATTTTGAGCATAAGCTCTCTTGACTTTACTTTGAGCTTTCCAAACGCTACAAAGTATTCTTTTATCATAAAGAAAATAAATAAATTAATTAAATGAAATTTAAAGTAGATATAACCAAAATGCTAGACTAGGTTGAATTTGAGCCGAGCCTACATTGATTGGGCCTAAATGAAGTCCGATTAAACTGAACAGGATACCTCAACAACGAGGAGGCGACGAAGGCCATAATCGACGAACACGGATGGCTGCACACCGGCGACATAGGTTACGTCGACGAAGACGACGAGGTCTTCATTGTCGATCGTCTCAAGGAACTGATCAAATACAAAGGCTTCCAAGTGGCGCCGGCTGAGTTGGAAGCCCTGCTGATTTCCCACACTCACATAGCCGACGCTGCGGTTATCCCGTACGTGAGCCTTTTCTCGATTTGATTCCTTCACCGGCCCCCCCTTTCCTGTAATGTGTTTACGACTAATTTTACGCCGATTAATTGCAGCATGAAAAATGAAGTTGCAGGAGAGGTACCGGTTGCGTTCATTGTACGATCCGGTGGTTCCAACATCACGGAGGATGAAATTAAGCAATACATTTCGAAACAGGTACAACCTCCAATTTTAGCGTTGATTTAAAGCTTTCAAGTTTAATATGTTGTTTTTAGTTAGGTTTGCCGATTGATCATCCATTTCACCAAAAAATTAGGTAACCTTCCTTTTATGAACTATAATTTCTGAACCTTTTGACTCTGTGTCTGTAACGCTACATGATAAAATATACTTCCAAATGTTTCCAGTAAGTGGCTGAACTGTTAATTTCGTGATTGATTTGTGAGGGATGTGGGATGCAGGTTGTGTTTTATAAGAGGATTCATCGTGTCTTCTTCGTGGATTCCATCCCTAAAAGTCCTTCTGGTAAAATCTTGCGGAGACAACTTAGGGAATTGCTCGCAGCCCGTATTCCAAATTAGCTACCCAATGTGTGTATTTCAATTAGAGAAAAGGATCTTGTTTATGGATTATGTTTATTATTCCAAGTTCTCTTCACAGGCTGCAACCAAAATACAAAAATATAGTTCCCCTTTGATAATCATTTTGTCTGTTTTCTTATGAAAAGTGAAAATAAAAAATAAAAATGGTTATGAAAGAATTTTACTAACTGCATATAAGAAGGTAGATATGTAGATTTGGAGGGTAGAAGTGATTGTTCAGAAAGAGTAAAAAAGCAAAGTTTCCTTGTATGACTCATAAAGTGCTCAGTTTTGATTATCCATGACCTAAACAGTCCTGTTTGTTTACTGATTGCCCAGTGGAAATGGTGCATTCTGTGTTTACAAAATTTGGTAACAGAGCTAATTACGGCACGTCATATCAGAACATAGTACTGTTTTGCGCTTTTTTGAGCAATCCGCATTTGCATCTTCAAACAAGTTGATGATCTCGATCATTTATCTTGTTCTTTCCACGTCACACCCACTTACCCACCTCTTCCATCATTTGTTTGATAGAGAAACCCAAGTACCAAAATTTCAAGGACAACCTTATCCTTCCCAATGTGTGGACGAGAAAGTGTAATATTTTCCCTTTTAGGTGCTTTCCAGGAGATGCAGAAATAGTAGTCTCTGTTCCCATTATAATAATACTGTATGGCATAAATGGCTTGGGTACCTCGTTTACCATGGGGCCGCCCTTCCCCATTCTGGGAATTTGTTTGTGCTTTTTCTTGTTTCAAACAAAAGAGCATCATTTTGGTTTTAATGCCGCCAAACCGTCTAATCCACTCACCTTGGTTAATGGATACCAATTGTACCTTACAACATCAAAAGGTTGGAGAAAGTGGTGGCATGTTAGGAGCAGAGCGTTTTGATGGGGTACCCCAACCCCCCATTCTTCTTCTTTTTCTTTTTTATCTCACTCGTTCTCTTTAAAGAGAATCCTAACAATATTGTTAGCTATACAAAAAAAAAAAAAAAAAGAAACAAAAGTTGGGACTTAACCTTGAGATGACACTTCATAATCAATCACCATAATGTGATTTCAGATATCCTGCAAGTAAGAGACAGAAAAAGGGATCTCAGACTAAACCTTTTTTTAGGGCCTTGAAGTTTCATGGAAGCAACAATTTAGTCGAACTTGTTGAAGCTTCATCTCACTTTCTCCGAAAGGAAGTCCCACCCCTTTTTCAAATCATCAAATTATAATACTACTCATCAGAAGGTGTCTAAAATTAAATTCAATCTTTTAGAGTGAATGGAAATGGAGTGGCCAGGATCATTGTACTTTGACTCACCCATTTTAATTAATAAGAAAGGACGCATTCCTTGTATCTATTATCTGAACCCAGTTAAGAGAGAAAGTACGAGGAAAAGTACATCGCACACGTATAATTACACCATATCTTCTAATTTGATTTGTGCATAATTGTTGGCTGCTCAAACCACAAGATCAATTAGGAATTAGTGTTCCATTGCAGGCTGGACACCAAACTTTGGAGGAAAACACAGTGGTCTCTGATTCAAAAGACATCACCACAAACACCTCCAAAGCTGGGAGATTATGATCTCTCAATCATTGTCTAAGAACACATTTAATTATTTCTGGTTGTCGCCGATGGATCAAATTACTATGTTATCTGTTTGAAATATCAGACTTGATTTCAATTATTGCGTCAGACATTCATTAGTTTATAGAATTTGAGTAAAACCCATGTGCTTGGTTCAGGTTTTTCTTAATTGGAAAATCATTAATATGGGTGAAATGCTTTGAAAATAGAGAGAGGGAGAGAGAGAGAGAGAGAGAAGGCATGTGAAGGGTGAAGTTGGTGAAAAAGATTAGCAGTCATTGGTGTGTGGTAGTCGATGCATAAACTTTTGGGTCCCCACGCCTCATTGCATCATTGACGAGATGGACAGATCCCATAAACACTTTCTAAGGATATGCTATCAGTGTGTTCTTCGGTTGGGTCGAATCACTTTTTTTATTATATCAATCAAATATGTTTTCATTTTTTCTCTTTCCAAACCAACATGTAATTATCATTATTATATTATATTATATTATATGGAAATCCATCTTTTATCTCCGCCAAATTCATTGTTAGTAGATATTGTCTATTTTAGCAAATTACATATAGCCGTCACTTTCACACGATAATAAATAGTTGTCATGCCCTCAATCCTTATCCGTATAATTAGTTTACTTTTCCATTACAAAAACGGATCAGTAATTTGCTAAAAAAAAAATGATCAGCTGTGACATAAAAAAGAAAGAGCCGAATGAAGAGTTTAGATGCAAACCAAATAATTGAGCAGAGAAACGTTTGGACACGATGAGTAAGATAAATACCAAATACGCAACTGGGTGTGTTTGTTTATAACATTTAGGCGATACATGTGGGGGTAAGTGGAAAGGAATGGAAGTAACCATTTATTATTATTAGAGATTTTTAAAATATTGGTTTGTAAACTGACAATCCATTTGAGTGCTGCCATTACCGGAGCCGACAGGCCATCCATCTCCACTGATTCTTTCCAACCCTCTGTCCCTCTCTAATTCCAAAGCCGATCCATTTTTAGTTGCACCAATAGTGAACCCTTTATTCTCATATAACCCATCACAAATTCTTCATTTTTCTACAAAACCCACTTCTCATTTCCCCTTTTTCTTGAAACCCATCTTCTTAATTCTCCTTTTGAGCTCTTTTTTCTTGTTGCTTTCCTTCTCATGGAGTTTAAACACCATCAGCTCAACCTTGGCCTTTTTCTAGAACCCTCTTCTTCTTCTTCTTCTTCCTACTCGGCTCCTGTGAGTCCATGTAGCGAGCAGAGGGTTTACCCATGCAACTATTGCCAGAGGAAGTTTTATAGCTCACAGGCTTTGGGAGGCCACCAAAATGCTCATAAGCTGGAGAGGACTTTGGCGAAGAAGAACAGAGAGATAAGGGCATACCGAGGAGATCATGAAACCAATATTACGATGAATTCAACCCATTTGTGGAAAGTTGAGACAATCACAGCTGCAGCACCTTTAGTAATTGGCCCACATGGGGTTGATGGTGGGAGAGAGATAAGGGGTTTCGCAGCTGAAAATCATCATCTTCCTCATCTTCATCATCATCATCAAGATGATATTGGCCACCTTGATTTGTCTTTAAGGCTCTGAATTTCTATGTTTTTGTTTTTTTCACTTTTACGTAAAAATTTTATATAATGATCGAAACCCGTAAAGAAGAGGTGATGGATTGAGAGTATTTTATGTGTTTCATCTTTATATTCTCTTCGAAACTAAGCCCCAAATTGTTTCGTCTTCTATGAGTCCATTTATAAGCTTTTCTCTCTTTTCAGTTTTAGTTCTCTATTTGTAATTACTGCCTTAATTATGAAAAATATTTACTTTTTTTGATAGCAGATATGTAGTGATCAGTGGAAATCAATTGAAATCGACCAATTTGAGGGGTTGAATAGAGCTACATAGTGATTAGAAGTTGCATTATTGAACATTGTTTTAGGGTTTCGATTATGTATGCATTATTATTAAGACTCAATCATGAAAGTTGTAAAGAAAGCATATGCCACTTTTCCTACTAAAATGCAAGACAACATAAAGTGAGGATCATCAAGTTGGGTTATTTTATAGATATTTTTACTAAATGCATGGTTGTTGGATAAAACAAACTCTTTCTTGGGGGCATATTTAAAACTTTATAAAGTATTTTGAAAAAGTTATGGATATTGGAATGTCCAAGCCCACCGCTAGCAAATATTGTCTGCTTTGACATGTTATGTATCACTGTCAACTGCAAAGCTTTAAAACGTGTCTATTAGGAAGAAGTTTTCACACTTTAGAAATGTTTCTTTTCCCTCTTCAACCGATGTGGGATCTCACAATCCATCCTCTTGGAGGCCCAGCGCCCTCACTGGAACACCATTCGATGTCGACGCCCAGTGTCCTCACAGATTTAAAATACGTATACTAGGGAGAAGTTTTCACACCTTTATTAGGAATGTTTTGTTTCCCTCCCCAACCGAAGCATTCCTTATAAGCTTGTGAAAACTTCTCCCTAGCAAACCCATTTTAGAACCATGAGGCTGACAGGCCACGTTACGTGTGACGATTATGTTCTTCTTACCAACATAGTATATTGTCAATGTCAATATCGAAATTCCAATGGTTTGAACATCTTATCTCTAATCTTTCAATTCCAATCGAGAAGTAGAAGTATTGATGGGAGGGATTGTAATTTGATAAGAAGAAAGAATTTCTATTATGAGCAAATCACATAACAACTCCAAATCCCAACATCTTTCCTTTGAGAAACTCAGTTTTAAGAACTAAGAAGGTCGAACCAGAAAAGAAAAAAAAAGCAAGGAATTTAAGGGATTGGAGGTAACAAAAAGGAAGAATGATTTTAGACGTAAATTAATAAGAATAACAAAGGAGGGACCCAAGTTTCCATATCAGAGATGCTCCACCTTACTACCAAACCCTCTTCTCCTAACCCACATTTTCTCTTAAATCATATCTAACTTTAATTGCATTACATATAATGAACACAAACTTCATATTCTATTTTTAAGGTTTTTCTTCATTGCTTTTGTCCCTTTAATTTAAATATTGTTCAATTATAAAAACCATTAAATGGGGAAGGAAACAGAATCCAGCATATAAACAAAAATATTTTTATACGTAATATATTTATCAACTTCCTAAACCCTAAACTTACATTATATTTCTATATCTATATCTATATATGTATATAACCTGAGACTATGCCATAGATTGAGCACTTTCTATTCTGCAGCTCTTCAACTTCAGAGACCAAACAAATTTCTGGACATCAAACCTAAAAAGCTTCTTCACTTTGGAACTGTCGAAATGCATCAACAAAATATGAACATGAAACCTAAAACAAAAACCATATCCTATGCTAGAATTAAGGTTACCTGTTTGAAAATATCACCGAGTTCGTCATCCATTAATAAGCTGACGTGGGAACTTCCCTTAACCAATTGCAATTGAGAACATTGTCCTGAAAACCAATACACCAAAAGGATCAATTGAGAACATTTATTAATTGAGAATAGTCGTTTTGGCACATACCCGCATTAGTATTATTGTTGGGAAACGCCCAGCCAAGATGCCCTGCTTCTTCTGGAATTTCTCCCATATTATCCATCGGCCAATTTCCAAAACTTTGAGGGTACTTTGAATTCATGTTGTTACTTGGACCGAATCCCAAGTATTGGTCACATGGTTTTGACATCAAATTATTGGATGCAAACCATTTGAATTCAGGCACCGGATAGTAATTTTTACTTCCTTGAACTTCTTCCATTGATGATCTTCCCAGATTGGAGAACTGAAATTGGTCAATTGTTGAAACATTGTTTCTTTGGTTCATCGAATTCTGGATTTTTGATGCCTTAATTGAATTTCTATCGTAGCAGTTCTTCTTGCCAACCAATTTTCCTGCTCCGGTTGCCTTCTTCCTCAGCATATCTCGGTGTTTCTGAAATAAAAAATTTTGAAAATTGAGAACTGAATTGGTTACCAAAAACCCTATATTTCAAAGTTGATAAAATTGGACAAACCTGAAGATGACTGGCCACGTTTTCTCGTGATAAACGTGGATCGTTCATGAGCTTCAATATGTTATTTGGGACTCTCTCTGAAACATAAATGAAGTGTAAATTAAGAAGAATCTAGAAAGATTTGAACTTTAAGGCAGATAATCCTCACCCTTTTCTCCCAATTGCTCATAAGCTACAACAAATCTTTCATGCAATTCCTTTGTCCAAGAAACTCGAGGCTTCTTCTTAGAAGACGAACATGAATCAAAGTGATTGGAATCTATGTTTATGTTTTTATCAATCGCATCATCTTCCTTATCAATTACTGTGGCCCTTTCATGAGAGATAATGGGTTTGTGTTGTTCTAGTTCTTGTTCCATAACATTAGGGTTTGGTCTTTTCCGACATCTTCTACGCAAGACGTGTTGCCAAATATTCCTCAATTCTTGGAAGCTAACTGGTTTCAGTAGATAGGCCTCAGCTCCCTCCATAACACCCCTCTTCACCATCTCCAATTGCTCGTTTGCTGACACCACTGAAATTCAAAATTCATCAATTAATTCAAGTTTAGGAAAAAAAAAACAAAGAGAGTAAATTTTATGGGTTTTACTTACTAACAGCAGGAATGTCGATTCCTTGACGAACAGTCTCAAGGATCTTGAACCCATCCATGTCATTTCTTCCAACATTTGTAATAATGATATCAAAAGATTCTTTTTCATCGTTTAGTAGCCTTATTGCTTCCGTTGTCTCCGTTGTTGCAGTTACTACACGTTCAAAAAAAAAAAAAAAAAACCATCCAAAACATGGAAAAATTAAAACTTTTCTAATGGGAAAATCGAAAGAAAATATGGGTATGAAACGAAAAACGTAAATGTTGAAGGAAATTAGAAAAGGAAGTACCTTTATATTGACACTTTTGAAGAAGTTGAACCAGATATTTGAGGCACACAATGTTGGCGTCAATTGCGAGTACTTTCAAACCAATGGGGAATTGATCATGTTGGATGTTTTCTGGAGTCGAAATCTTAGCCGATCCATTGTCCTTCTCTTCCATTATAATAAGCCCTGAATTCGCTTAAGCCCTAAATTAGGTGCAGATTGTTGGGGTTATGTGTAGTGAGAGTGCGATGAGTTGAGGGCCTTGTAATATGTTATATGGGTTCGGAGTCCCCACATTAGGAAAATTTGTTCTTTAAACAATATATGGAAACAAAGGGTAAGAGTATCACTTAATCCCTTTTCAGTCCCAAATTAGGAAAGTGATTGGAAGAATAGAAAAAATCTTTCAATTATTTAATCACACTACTTATTATTATTTTATTTTTTAAATTTCATAATTAATTGTTTGTGTGAATGTGAGTATATTTGCAAGACTTCAGGCATGCTATATTACCTTTATTTGACCGTGCACGTCTCATTGACAATAGAATTGTAACAGCACACCGTCAGTAGATATTGTCTTATTTGGCTTTCCCTTTCGAGTTTTCTTGGCACTTGTTACCTTTTCCAACTGATGTGGGGTCTCACAATGGCACACCGCCTCGTGTCTCCTTTTTGGCCTTCCTTTTCGAGTTTCTTTGGCACTCGTTCCCTTCTCCAACCGATGTGAGATCTCACACTGGCACACTGTCTCGTGTGTACCTCCTTCAGGGCTTAATCTTTCTCATTGGCACATCACCAAGTGTTTGGCTCTGATACTATTTATAACGGCCTAAGTCCACTACAACAAATATTGTCCTCTTTGGCTTTCCTTCCGGCTTCCCCTCAAGATTTTTAAAACGTGTTTGCTAGTAAGAGGTTCCACACCATTACAAAAAATGATTCATTCTCCTCCCCAACCAATGTAGGATCTCACAAGAATTCTTGATACTCTCCATCATATGGTCTTCATTTGTCGGATCCTAGCTTAAATAGTATGGTTGTAGGAAGCCTGGTCTATCTGAGTGCAACTCTTCTAGATATTGCACGTTATCCGTTTAGCTAGTCACTTTGAGTTCATTGGTCTATTGTTCTTTGTTTTCCTCTGTTTATCCTACCTAATATAAACTTCATTAATGTGCATTTTACAATATATATGAATGAAAATATGCAAAGCGTTCACTTAGTTTGGAGAAATTGAACCCAAAATGAAAGGGGTATATATGTGATTGTGATTTGACATCAACATTCAAGAGGAAGACCCTGAGGGAAACGCTTGGTGTCAGTGCAGTAATCATAGAACATATATTTGGTCTGAGCCCATTTCATGCGCCGTTGGCTTAAACGATCCAGCGTGGACGACAGCCACGACGCTGAAGTTGAACTGCAATTGGACTTCCCATCGGACCACAAGCAACCATCGGCGCTTAGATTCTTGTACCATGCTCGGAAAGGCGCCTTGGTCCAGTCAATCTTCACGGCTCCACCTCTTGTGGCCCAGCTGTCTGCGTTCCACAAGCTAGCGTATATCCTCATTGGCTGCCGGAGTGGGAAAGGAGCTCCCTTTTCCTTCCTGTTCTTCAGCTCTCTGATCGGAATCCCATCAACTGACAGCCTATCAACAGAACATCAAAGACATCAGTTTCTTGCTTTTAAAATTAGAACTTTGAT